TACACTGGAATACGATACAAAGTCTAGCGCTGCAGATTTGTAAAACACAATACTAGTGAAGAGGATTAAAATCCAGTGCTAAAGTTGTGAAGTGTAGTGCGGGAATTAAAAAGTACAGATCAGAAGACGATTTTACAGCTTAAATATAACATGTGTCAATACAGTAAACGCATGATTGGAGGTCTCATTCAGATGTTAAATATTGCTTATAGTCTAACACTATAAAACTGAAATAAAGCTCTGAAGATGCAAAATATAATGGTAAACCTATAGACTTAACGCTTTAGATGTTAATTCCAGTGGTGAAGATGTAAGCTCCTGGTCAGCTCTGAAGTCTAGTGTTGAAGGTGTTACGAGATATGTCATGTTCAGCGCTTTAGATGTAAAGTATAACGCTACATAGTCAAGTCTAGCACTTCAGATATATAGTCTAGAACTGGAGACTAACATATTTACTGTAGTTTCAGAGGAGTTTCGGATATCAGAATTACGGATATATGAATATTAATGCTGACCATATTACAAGCTCTAGCACGGAGATGTGGTTAAATTTGTTGTGACTTAATGTAAGATGTCTGTTCGTTTATATTCAATTGTTCATTTATAATTTGACGACGGATATGTTCCAATCGTCGTTACTACAATCCCGTTCCCTTTTCCCCGAATGAGACCTGTCGAATTAGATTTATCACCGTGTTTGTACTTTAGATGAGCGACAAGACGGGTGCCACATGTAGAGCAGGATCTGTTTATCCTTCCGAGGCGCCTGAGATCACCCTTGTTTTTGATGGGTCTATGTTGCTCAAATTTCAGTTATTTTATATTATTTTTTTGTGTACAGTACTGTTGTTTGCCTGTTGGTGTTTTTCTTTTTTAGACATGGTGTTTTCTGCTTATTTTCGACTTATGAGTTTGAATGTTCCTTCGGTATCTTTCGCCTCTCTTTGACTACACTCTTATATAATTAGACTTCAGCCAAATAAAGACATCAATGTGTATATTTGCTGATGAATGATTACGCTTATTTACATTTCCTTTCACTTCCCTTAATAATCAAGTTCATTCTTAAACGGCCATTTTGATCTTTACATCATCTGAAAAGTCTGAACAAGAAAATTAGGTCCAAAATCTCTGTAAATGGTCCCTGGATAACAAATTATAAAGCAATTCAAAGGAGGAGATGAATTTAGGAATTAAGGCAAATAAATTTACCGAAGTTTTCAACCGACGACAACCATTGAACTACATAACCCTGATGTAGGAAATGCCATAAAGGTGGATGTGTTAAACATTTCAATGAGAACTTAACCCCATAATATAGGACCCTGATGAAACAGAACAACCTTAGAATAAACGCCAAAAGCAAATTGCAAAAGACTTGGCTCGTCAGATCGGTACCAAATAGAGAACAACTTGCAATTTACAAAACCATAATATACCTATACAAAATTACTTGAAATTATTGAAAGCTAGAGCAAAATTCAATTTCAATATTAAACTATTTTATGATTTTCTGACTTAGATATCACTGAAACGCATTGATTGTAAAGATATCATAAGAAGTTTGAGAAAAGTGTTAACATGTGTAAAGCTAAAATATATCACTAAAACGCAATGATTGAAACATATCATAAGAAGTTTGAGAAAAGTTTAACCGTGTGTAAAGCCAAAAGATATATATTAATAGGATGTTGAGTCATAGGTTTTAAAGCTGGATAGTATTATATGTTTTGCTCAGTGTGAGAACATTTTTTCCTGGTCAATTGGATTAAGGTTAGCTAAAAGAGAAACCAAAAGATATAACAAAACATACCCTTTACTTTGACTAACCATCATTTAGGTTTTTAGCGAATCTTTTCAGATACTTGTGTGATAAATATTCGCACGACTGTTTACGATATCAGGCAGGGAACTATATTTGGTATTCATAATTTATATTTCTAATGAGTTTTCACTGATCAGTCACTTAAAGTTTGTCAACTAATTTCTAAGTATTGAAATAGATGTCCTATGCAGCAAGTTCGATTAATTCGTCGAACAATCCGAATATACGGCATTAAATCATGATATTATCCAAACTCGATAGTTATCCTGGTTTATACATGTAAAAGTACCACAAATTCAGCAAAATGGACGACATATATAAACCTTACTCACATTGTTAAAATATAGGAAGCAAACATTAGATGAAGGAAACAACCGTCGAAATAATCAGGCATGTTTTTTTTTAAATGCGTACATTCAAGAAAATATTAAAAGGGGCAGCAAACAGAAATAATGTGAAACAAAATATGTGCATGGTTAAGTACATGCACGCACCTCAAGGGTTGTGTAATTTACATTATGTTATGTAAAGTGATACATATCTTGTCTAGAATTGTGTCGATTTAGAACTAAACAGGTGGTAGAGAAATTGTACTATTAAAAGTATTTATTGTATGCTGACCTATTGATGTTTTTTTGGGAAATATATTGTTGTAGGTAAGTTGTTTAATTGGTGTGTACACAGAACTTTTTCTGTTAAGGTAAAACATGATAATTTGAAGAAAACAATATTTTTTTATATAAACTATATATTTATTTTATAGAAACTATTTTTTTTAACATTCAAACACATTTTGTGAAGTAAAGAATATGTTCATTTAGAAGTCATTCTGATGGGCACGTTTTAAAACGTAATAAGAATAGTTAAACAATAAGAACATGTTAAATGTACTGCAACCATGCATCTTTTCTTTGCTGAAAGTTGTCGTCCCTTCTTCTTTGATAAGTTTCAAGTTTCTCGTCATCAGTATGAAAATTATTACTACATCTGCTGGCATAAAATTCTTTTGTGATATCGACATTTTCATTCGGAGGATTTGCACTTTCTTCTTGATCTTGGGTGATAGAAATTGCCGTGATTCGGTTTTGTTTCCTTCTACCAAAGAGTGTTCGGAAGTGAATGCAACAGTTCAGTATATCTATGACGATCAGGAAAACCATTGGAAGAATAAGAAAAACAATGCAGCCCCATCCTATAGATTGTGAAGATTTTCTTTTGTTTACCGAGGAGTTTTTCTTTCGTACCTCCTTTGATACAGTTTTCTTGTCAACCGAAATCTTGGATTTTATATTCTTGTTGAAATCTTCGACGACCATTTTCTTTACTCCAGCATCTGTTATATTCTTTCCATCAAGGAAGTGCCATTTTGTATTTATTAACCTCTTTGGGCATTTACATAACAGTTTCCTTGGTCTCATTCCTAAAATAACAACACGAACTTTTTTGTTATCTTTTTGCAATATCTCAATGTTTTAATAATCAGTTAAATAAAATAAAAACCAAAATAATATACATTGTGTAGCTTAGGAATTTTTAAAGGCTAAGAATTGAGTAACATATACCACGAGGAGGAACAGTTGTATACAAAGTCAAAGGACTGCACCGAAAAGCCTAGAAATTAAAAAGAAAACCATTAAAATTACTTACAAATGCACGATTATACTTGCTGATCTCATATGTTAGATACAAGTGGATCTTTAATTTGTGAATAACTCGATAACTGTAAGTGAGTTTTAAATGTGGAATCTGAAAACTGTTTGCGAACTTAATTCAATTATTTACCCTTATTTTAACGCAAGATGCAACTCAGATTATGAGATTTTCCAAACGAACTCTTTATTTTTTTTTTTGTGTTATAAGGAACTTTAAAATAAACAATTGATAAAATACAATCAACATTGATTTAAACTTTTTTTAGTGTTGGTGGCATGTAACTTAATTGTAAATTAGTTGATACTCTATTTTTGCAAAGATAACTGCGTGTCAATATGGACAAAACCTGTTGTTGATTGTGTTGAAGTCTCAGTCATTAAAGTTAAAATGACCGTATTGGCATTTTCAGAAGTTGACTGAATAGTTCCGGTATAGTAGAAGGCGTTTTCTGCGTTACTGTTGGTGGATATGTGTCGCTGGTTATCATGTACACAAAATCTGCCGTTGATTCTCGTATGGACACAGACGTTGTACTAGTTGCTTGCGTATTTGTTAAAGAGACAATTTCAATTGATAGTCCAGCAAAAAATGAAATTATTGATGTTTTTAAAAGAAGCCGAATATTCCAAAGGGACAATATACAATAATAAGTCGAAGAAGATCAGTACCATGGCAAATATAAAAACTACGAAAACACGAAAACAATTACCGAAGTTAATAGTAGATGCACCAGAGATTCTCAACTTTTATTTCATTATAGATCATAGAATTTGAAAAAAAGAAGCTCAAAATAGGCATGAGTAGAACATGTGAATATTCTATCCATTTACCATATATGTAGCTTCATATTTGGGATTGGTCCCCTGTCCTCCAATAAACCGCATCTGTATTACTTCGTTCAGTATTTCACGCATTTAGCTACTTTGAGTTTCAGACACGAATAGGCATGATGAAGGAAATACTATTAATAGGTAAGAAAGTGAAATCGGCATCATACAAATTAAATGATATTGTTTACAATTCCACTTTTAATCACTTACTTAGATATCAGTTCGCTTATGCAATGAATAATACTTACTAATTTAAACGCATGATTCAACTCATATGAGATCTTATAACGAACCATTATGTTTCGTCTAACAAGGAACAATTGTTACAATTTAAACATGTAAACATTGTTAATTATTTTGAATTATCATTATCAGTATTATTATTATTATTATTATTACTTTTATTATTATTATTATTATTATTATTATTATTATTATTATTATCATCATGATATTTATTATTATTATATTGTGTTACTATATTTTTAGATTTTAGTATGTTCTTTTATGGTCTCTCAGCGAAAAAATAGCCCTTAAGTAGAGTTGAAGGAATGTGATAGAAGACAAGAAGCGCTATGAAAAAGTTGTACCCTCGAACTTTAGTCACATGATTGTATATATATTTGTTGATTAATTTATTCCACATATTTATCTTTACAAACAAGTAATGTCACAAGCTACATATGCAATACCTTTTGTTGCATTTGTTGTATTCTCAGTCATTACAGTTGAAATTGCAGTATTTGCATTTTCAGATGTTGTATAGGATAAGTCCTGTCGTATAGTATAAGAGTTACTCTTCGAAACTGTAGCTGGAGATGCGTCGCTGGGAATCATGGTTATAAAAGCTGCTGTCGCTGAGTCTCTTTTCACAGTCACAGTTTCAGTTGATCGTTCTGTAAATAACGGGATATTAATTGTTATCTAAAGAAGCCGAATATAAAATAGGGTTAATAAAAACATATAAGTTATTGAAAGTCCGGTTAAGTGCCATGTCAAAAATGAAAAAAAAAACAGCTCTTAATATGCTTAAAATCAGATAATATAAAATAAGAAATCTTAGACTGAATAATCGATTAAAAGTGCAATAACACTTTATAAATTTTAAACAGTTTTTGGAATGTAAGCCCTTCAAGAAAATCTTTGAGTGATATGTAGGTTATCTATGGAATGATAACTTATATACACCTACCCACCATGTCCTCTTTTTAAGGCAAAAGTAGTGTACCGATGTTAAAATCTAATACATTGATTATGAAGACAAATCAAGGTAAAAAAAAAAAATCTGAGAAAATCGCATAGATTCCAAATGAAGCATGACAGTAACATCGGCAGGTTGCGTCAACCTGTTGCATCAAATTAACACACCCTAGCCAAACAGCCTACAGGAATTGTGTTTTGTGCTTATCTATCAGCTGGAAAACACATATTTTGAGTACTGAACGTGACTTTGTTTGTCAAATTTGCCTTATTATAATAATCTTATTGTATAACAGTAACATCCTTTATTTGTTAAATTTTCAAAATTGGAGAATGAGTTGCATAATCATATTGACGACTGGCCAAAACACTTTTTAATCCTTCAGAAATGTTGCTGATACGTATTTGTATGATTTCCAATATGAGTATTTACATTTGAATATTCCTACAAATACACTTGTTCTAAAATTAAAATCAAAGACACAAAGTTATGTTATTTTGTAGTCATTTATTTATGACTGTCATATGACATCAAGTTGATTTTAGATTTTTTATCTGCTTTTCTGATAAATTTCTTTGAAAACATTGAACTCTACAAAAAGAACTTTTTTCTAGGTTTAGTTGAAGGAAGCCGATTCTTAAATTTGCTTGTACATGTTGTAATTTGGTTCGAAAAATACAAATACAAATAGATGCTAGCAGAAAAGCTTCCTATAGCACTTTAATTGAAAAAATAAACCGAAAAGCTTTTATAATTTAGAATTATAGAAGCAAGAAAATACAAGAGAGAGAGAGTTTTTCCACTTAAAAACACTTTTAGCCCCTATGCAAATTATATATTTTGAATGGTAGTTTTACAACCATTTGTATTAATGTATATATTTTTTTGACTTATTCATGTAAACAGGGCAAACACCATGTCTTTTGTTGCTATATTTCTTAAAAACTCTATGCCACCTTGGTCAGACGGTGCTGAAAAGGTGAGGTAAAACCCTGACACTTAAGAAAATGCATTGTAAATAAAAAAATAAGTATGCATCTTTCAAAAGTTCTCATCACCATTCTTTTAATAGTAATTGACAGCAGATAGACAAAGTTTGATGAGGTATGTTCTACTAGAAGTGTCAACCATCTATAGATTTGAAAAATTATAAAGATCTACGGCAAAATCTTCGATCTCATTCTTTATAATTTTGCAGTAATATCACCATTTTTTTATTTCTGTCTACGCTTAACACTACTGTATTCCATAGATATAAGAAGATGTGGTATGAGTGCCAATGATACAACTCTTCATCGAAGTCACAATTTGTAAAAGTAAATCATTATAGATCAAAGTACGGTCTTCAAGACGGAGCCTTGGCTCACACCGAACAACAAGCTATAAAGGGCCCCAAAAATGACTAGTGTAAAACCATTCAAAAGGTAAAACCAACGGTCTAATCTATATAAGAAACACTTATGAACCACATCAACAAACGACAACTACTGAACATCAGATTCCTGACTTAGGACAGGTGCAAACAAATGCAGCGGGTTTAAACGTTTTAGTAGGTACCAACCTTCACCCTTATCTGAAACAATAGTGTAACATCACAACATAGAAAGACACGCTATAAAATATCAATTGAAATGGCTTAACTCAATCAAAGACATGTTACACAAGAGAACATACACTGAACGAATAAATTTGATCTATGATACAAAATCAATAAAATAAGGGGTGAATAAATAAAGGCAACAGTAGTATACCGCTGTGAGATGTTAAACAATTTAAAAAAAAAACAACAACCTTGAACAAAAAGCCTTCAAATAGAATAATATACACAGGTAAATAAAAATAATTTTGTTGTATGGTATACAGTTTAAATGGAGAACGGAAATATTTTTTACAAATAAAACGTACAAGAAGTGAAAATTTATAGTCATACCAAACACTTATCAAAACTGGTATGTAGACGAGATATAACCCTGAATAAGTAAACATTAAATAACACAAAAGCATTACAAATAGTATCAACAGGTCAAATTAACAAGAAAGTACGATTTGAGAGTACTCGCAGTTTACAGCTAGTTAAAAGCCAAAAAAAAATTAATAATAAAAAAATCATGCATCAGAGACTAAAATCAACTAAAACACATCACAGGGATTTAGTATTTTATGAACATTTTAAATATTGACTACATCGTCTCATTGAACAGGTTTTTTGTCCCATAGGAATCTTGTTTCAGGGAATAAAAATTTGCTTTTTGAAGAACTGTATTAATTCGGAAAATTAATAATCGAGGATTATATAATCAAAATGCTTGACATTTTGATCAAAGACATAGTGCATGAATTTGGTTGGTTTCAACAAACAGTCGGTATTTCAATGGGTACTACTTATGCAACCCTAATGACCGTTTGTAACTGTATGAAGCAGAATTCATACAAAACTCTCTCAAAAGACAACAATAAAGAATGCATTCATAGCAGGCGACGCTTACCCTGTTGACGTACTTGGTCTTGCTCGCTTTGGACTTCATGCGATTTTCTCAGTTTTTGTTTGATACTTTGATTTGGCTTCATATCGATTTGTAAGATCTGAACATCGGTTAACTAAACTACTGTCGCCTACATTTGCAGTAACAGTCATAATTTTCAAGTAATTGTTCCGTTTGGTCAGTTGTTAAATACAACCTTGATTTATGTAATTTTTTTATTAAGTAATAAGAAGTTAAAGACAAACATATACTTTGACTTTAAGTCTGAAAAAAAATAAATGTTCATGTCAAATGTAAAGGATGTAATACTATGTAAAGTTTAGTTCATTTTATAGTTTTATTTGAACTTACTTTCTGGTTTAATTACCTATTTTCGAAACTGTTATCCGCTTGTACGTGACCGTGTAAGACTTGTAATAACCTCCACAAAATTCCGATATGTCACCTGGACATTGGTTTTTTTCTGTACATTGTGCAAATGTTGATGTGCTATCAATCCATTCCGGATCTACTTTGCCACAAAAGCATTTATTTGACTGAAAAAAAATGTGTAAATATAAAGACGATGAAAAAGTCACAATCAAACCTGAAAATTTTCCAACTTTATTAAAAATCATAGTACAATTTTAATATATGCTTTACAAAATGATTCGTGTAAAGAACTCAGAAACGAAATACAATAAAAGAAAACAAAACTAAAGTGTTTTCATTTTTTTGTTTTTGATCTCTTCATACTATGAGAAATCGACAAAGTCATGATTGTCATCTTAAGTATTTAAAAAAATAGCTAGTCATTACTTGTAAGTTTAACATCATGAACATTATTTAAAATAATATTCCGAAACAATATCTTTTTAATATATCTTTTTCAACAAACTCAGAATCTGTGTCAAGTTGTGAATTAATTTTCGAATAGTCCTTTCTCCGCTTTTAACGATTGGCAGACAGGGATGTTTAATTATTTTAAAAATAAATTTATTAAGTTACAATTACTTTTCTTATAAAATGCAATCGATTACATAACTGTTACACCTAAATTCAAATGTAATCGTTTGCATAAGATTATTTTTGTTATAGTAATCATTACAATTTTCTATAACTAATTACACTGTATATTGTGAAATCTAATAAAAAATTCAAACATTTGTTCACATACAAAACCTAATTTGAGTGATAATTTTATGTTTTTAACATTTTTGATATATATCAAAAACTTAGAACAGGAACAGTGAAATATCTATATTATTTTTATAAAAGGAAGATGCAAAGATTATCTTTACTAGGGCATCCAGGGCGTTCGTTTAACTGTGCGGAATGTATAAATACGCAGCAAGGTTTTGTTAGAATGGGGATGTTCAATCCGATGCCTCGCATTGAAAGAGTGCAATGCAAAATTTTAATAAATAAATCAATCAATCAAACAATTAATCAATCATGCATGTTATGTGTTAAATAGGGGTCTAATATTTTATTTCTGTCTTTATCGCATGTTCATGTTGTTCCAGGAGTCCGGAATCCATGGGTTTTTTCAGTCAGTCAATCAATAAATCAATGTTTCGGTCCTATGTGTTTAATAGGGGATACAAATGTCATGCCTTTTTCTTTTGCTTGTTCCAGTCAGTCAACTAACAAACAACCAACCAGCAAACCAATCAATCAATCAATCAATCAATCAACCAATCATGTTTCGAAGGGGAAAGACCGATTGTTTTTGATTTATTATTTTGTTTGTTCCGCCAAACACAAAAATTTACGACAAAAGGTTTGATTTTTCTTTCCCTAATGTTTATTTTCCTTTTTTGACGGTAATGTTCCTCTAGGACCATCTAACGGCGTTTATGTATCCCAACTCGTTCGTTATGCCGTGACGTTTTGGATTTCTATGAGCGTAATCTATGTATTACTGGCAAATTATTAAGTCAAGGATTTCGTTACCACAAATTACTTAAAACATTTACTAAATTCTTCCATAGATATAAATATTTGGTTTTGAACTTTGGTTGTACCTGTAAAAAACTTATCTCAAACGGGATAGCACATCATAAATTTACGGAGATGTTTTTTACTGATCCCGGAGGTTTATATACGATCCAGGTAAACTTATCAATCCTTTAAATAAACTGATTCTTAAAGGTTACCTATTCAACACTGTAATTAGATCTTTGAACATTGTTTTTATTGGAATAAATATTAATTTGTTATCAGTAAATTAAAATCATACTAAATAGTTTTGTTATACACATATGCACCTAAACGGTACAACAATCTGTCGATACCATTATTTTGTTATTGCACAAGGTCATGTTTTTCTCTGACTGTTAATGAGGTCTTTACACTAAATCCATTAGATGATTGATGTGTACTGATTGATATTTTAGTTTTAGATACATGATTTTTTTCTTAGTTGTTATTGGTTTTGAACTAGCTGTCAGTAACTGCGAGTTCTCTCAGATCTGTACTTAGTGTACATTTTGTGGTTAGGGATGAGGGAAGGATAAATACCCTGCCACGTCTGGTCTGTGTTTTTGTTTGATGTTTTTCTGCTTTTTATCGATCTGATAAGTTAAGCCTTTTTTCAACTGATTTTTATAGTTTGTTCTTATGTTGTGCTGTTACACCACTGTCCCAGATTAGGGAGAAGGTTGAGCGCTCACAAATATGTTTAACCCGCCACATTCTTTATGTGTCTGTCCCAAATCAGGAGCCTGTAGTTCAGTGGTTGTCGTTTGTTCATGTCTGTCATATTGTTTTGTTATAAATTAGGCCGTTAGTTTTCTCAATTGAATTGTTTCATATTTTTCATGTCGGGACCTTTTAAAGTCAACTATACGATATGGGTTTTTTTCATTGTTGAAGGCTGTATGGTTGCCTATAATTGCTTACATCCACTTTATTTGAACTTTGTTGGATAGTTATCTCATTAGCAATCTTACCACATCTCCTTATTTTTATTTTGACAAGATTTGCTTCCGTAACCGTAAAGCATGCCCCTTTTAGGTTCATAAATTGTATCGGTGTCACAAAAAACCCATCCGGGTACATTTCTTGGCGAAATCATTGTAATTTCTCCCTAGCAACACAACTTTGTCCACAGCAACAGAAATTTGTTTTCTCTTTTACAAGATTCAACTTTTTGTATGTTGCAACAAAAAGATAATTCAAGATGCACATTGTAATAAGTATCAAACTCCAAGAAAATGTCAATGCTGACATATCAACAAAGAAAACTACAGACAAACAACTAAAAATCTTCAAGGGAATGTGGTAATGAAAGGCACTTCTAGAGTCCATTTGTGGAGTACAAAAATGTACCATTGCCCTTATGGTGAAATAGCTGGTTATCACATTTTTTCATGAATTAAAACGTGTACATCATATATATTCTTTTAATTATTCCCGGTATAATTGATGTTAACAGATTTTATCTCTTGTGCTGGGTGGAGTCTTTTAAAGTTATAATGCCCCCGTCGTGACAGCGGGGGCATAACGGTTTACCCTTGTCAATCCGTACGCCCCGAAATTGGTTTCCGTTCTCTAACTTTACTTTGCCACAACCAAATTTTCTGAAACGTATACAAAATCCTTATTACTATCAAACACCAGATGAAGTTAGAATTTTGGTGGTGTCACTTTCACTGTTCTGGAGTAATGTCCCTTTATAAATGGGAAAATCAGCGAATTGTGGTTTCCGTTTTGTAACTTTACTTTGCCACAACCAGATGTTATGAAACACATATCAAAATCAAATTTTGGTGACTTCACTTTCACCTTTCTTGATTTATGGTCCTTTATAAATGAAAAAAAGGCATAACTGCCAAATTAGCATTCCAACTTCATTTTGCCTCAAAGATCAATATAAAAATAAGAAGATGTGGTATGATTGTCAATATGACAACTCTCCATAAGAAACCAAATGACACAGAAGTCAACAACCATAGCTCACCGTACGGCCTTAAACAATGAGTAAAACCCATACCGTATAGTCAACTATAAAAGCCCCCACCAAGTTCGAATAAGGGTGGCATTATTTTCACCGTTCTAGAGTAACCCCATTACTGTTTGTTACAATAAGAGCAATCAAACCCCAGAGTAAACAATTTCTGTCTCGCCTTGACTGAGTCAAAAAGCGAGACTTAGTTATGCTGTTTCCGACGGCATCAGCGGTGTCAACAATGTACTAGTTTGTGATCAGGTCAGTTTATGGGGAACCAATAGGGTAGGTCAGTAATATTTGTTATGCAATTGTATTAGCATATGCACATCTCATTTCAATGGCGATCAGTTGCCCCTGCCCCCTCCGTCATGGTCTATTGGTTTAGAAACTTTTGCTAACTTAATATGTATTAGTTTGTGAATAAGTCGGTTAAATGGGGAACTACTAGTGGTAAGTCAATGATATTTTATATGCAGTTGTATTAACATTGGCATATCTCATTTCAATTGAAATTGTTTGGGCCAACCCCCTCAGTTATGGTCTATTGAAAATGTTTCGCGTAGTTTACATGTTCAAGTTTGTGATTGGATCAGTTTAAGAGGAACCATTCCATTAATGTTATGACAATGATAGTATTAGCATTTGCACGTCTTCTTTTTAATGAGGATTACTTAGCCCCACCCCTATCATGGTTCATTCACTTTATACAAGTTAAAGTTTGTGTTTAGGTTAGTATTGAGGAAGCCACTTATGATAAGTCAATGGTATTCGGTATGAATTTTTATAAGCATTGGCATTTCTCATTTCCATGGACTGAGGTTATTCGGTCGTGCATCTTAAGTCATGGTTCATTTACTTTGAATGTTTTGCATAGTTAATATTTTAAATATTGCCATTTGGATTTCATATCTGATTTATACTATGAAAATTACAAAAAGGCGAGACATATCTCTGTGTCAACAGTTAATTTGCAGTGGGGTACTGATTTTGTTTACTCTAATTTTGTATCTGTCGAATCGGTTGACCATTCATGTCACATGATGCTACATATATTGTTTATAGCTCTAAAAGTTATTATTTAACAGAAATTTAAATTTCTGGATAACGAAAGCATATTATAAGATAAGTTTTACGTACTATATAGCAACTTGGCTAATACAGATTCAGAGGTTCCGAAGGTTTTTAGGACCTCAGTGATCATTTGGTACAGTAATTATTCAAGCATTACTGTTCCAGTCAGTATTTTAACAGTCTTATACATTATGAGTATTATAAAATTATCTCACTAAATAATTCCAAATGTGTTGACAATGTTGAACGCATCTATCCCATCGAACTAGAGATAAAGGATACAACAGATACAGTTAAGTCTGCCTCATATCTTGACTTACATCTAGAAATTGACAATGAGGGTCGATTGAAAACAAAACTTGACGACAGACGAGATGATTTCAGCTTCCCAATTGTGAACTTTCCATTTCTATGTAGCAACATTCCAGCAACGCCTGCATACGGAGTATATATCTCCCAATTGCTACGATATTCCAGGGCTTGTATTTCCTATCATGATTCCCTTGATAGAGGGTTGCTGCTCACAAGGTAGCTATTAATCCAAGAGTTCCAAGTGGTGAAGTTGAAATCACTTCTTCGAAAATTATACGGACGCCATCATGAACTGGTTGACCGTTATGGGATATCCTTTTCACAGATGATAGCGGATATGTTCCAAATGTCGTAACTACAATCCCGTCCACGTTTCCCCGAATGTGACCTACCGATATAGACTTATTACCGGGTTTTTACTAATATGAGCAACTCGACGGATGCCATATGTGGAACAGGAACTGCTTAGCCTCTGAGATCACCCACAGTTTTTGGTGGGGTTCTTGTTGCTCAGTCTTAAGTTGTTTATGTTGTGTTTTGTGTACTATGATTGTCTGTTGGTCTTTTCTTTTTTTAGTCATGGCGTTGTTAGTTTATTTTTGACTTATGAGTTTGAATGTCCCTTTGGTATCTTTCGCCTCTCTTTTATATCTACACTGGTCATTTGGTCCAGTAAATGATCTCATTTTACTTGACCAAACTATTTATTACTGGACATTGCCACATGTCTAACGGACCTTAAGAATGACTGTAGATTAACATGTAAAAAAAGACAGCACCGTTCTCTGTCTCCTTAAACATATATGTATAATTTGAAATTTTACACATTTGGTTTATAACCAGTTTTTGTGTTTAAGTCTCATCGTTAAATTCTATGGCAATTTCAGATCTCACATCATTAACGAAAAATGATGAACATGATGATATCAAGTGCCCAATCAAAGTGGCTCGTGTAAAGGCATATGCCCCTCCCTGTTATGATCGCCAACAGAATAAATTTCATGTTTCTCACCAATTATGTAAATTTAAAATCTTTTAAATCAGTATATTTTGTTTTATGGAAATATACCCCAAATCTCCCTCCCCCCTCATTTTTTTCATAAATCATGAATCCGATCCTTATACCAGAGAAGATTGTTTCATTTCGAACACCAAATTTTGAATTGAGATAAGCACAAAAATTAATAATGATCAGATTTTGTTATTTTATAAGTCTATCTAAGATTTCATATTTTCAACAACAACAAAAATGTTTTCCTCAAAATTATTGTTGACTCCCCTACAATATGTAGTTCATTGCTTTTTTTTTTTTTTTTTTTTTTTTTTTTAAAGCTAAACTAGTTATATTTACGAAAATAATAATAGAAATTCATGTTACCTATTCATAAGCGAAAAGGTAAAATTCGTTTAGGCATAAGAATGTATGAATCAAAATTTGCATTTTAAAGGCAAATTTCAGCTTTTAACTGCTCTTGCTTGGTTACGAAAAAATATAAAATAAACTATTGTACCAACCTTGCACCAAAAACATTTTGTATCTGAAGTTTATAATGTATGAACTTTCAAAAAAAAAAATTCAAATTTGTGCAAGATTGGTGCGGTGGTCAAAAATGTACAAAAACCATCCCAATTTCTTTATTTTTTTCTTATTTTCCAAATTATGAAGTCATTTACACCTACCATTGTGACGTCATTAATCATTTTGTGTTAGGTAAAAACAGTGTTTTTAAAATCATTGCCTCATATTCCAATAATTAATGGAGAAAAATATGCTCAGTTTAAATTGTTATTATTTTGTAAATCTTGGGTCATTAAAGCCCCTACTCCTTGCGTTTTATTTGTTGTGTCGCAACATGTCTCTTCTTTATTTTACATATGATATCGAACAATTATTGCGCTTTTAAAGTTCATCCTGTTAAACCAAACAGTTTTATTGTAAGAGTTATCTCCCAAAACACTGATTTACTTGTTCCTACATCTCATTCTTAACCAGAATAGGTATCGACAAAATTCTTTTTCTTAATTGTTTGCTACATTTTCAAGAAGTTTCGACTGATTTGGACCGAAGCGATCTACTGACATCTGATAGGAGTTATCTTCCCTTTACAATTAAATTTTTCTGTATGTTTTTATAACTCATGAACCGTAAGCCGTGTAGACCTAGGGTTGTTATATTTGAGGTCCATCGGTCCTAACTTACAATATGAGGTAAATGTCAAAGGGCGGGGTCGTGACCTTTGCTTGTTCCTGCATCTCATATATATATATATGATACATTTGGTTTAAAACAATCCAATGAGGAGTTATTGGCCCTGAAATCTTTTAATTTAAGGTTAATTTATTATTACTTCAACATTGTACATGATAAATCCATACGGTCTTTTGCAAAATGTTTGGCTACATATGACCTTGCCAACCTGAAGTGACCTGTAGTAAACCGAAAGTAACTATTTTTGGATTTTTTAAAGATTTACCAAGAAACCATATAATTTTATGTCCTTAATTGGCTTTTAATTATTTTTTTTTTCTTACATAACATTTCAAAGCGAAAAACAAAAATATGATCGTAACATGTTTCCTTGCAACATATCCCAACTCTGTTACATTTTGATCGACGCGATCCATTGACTTCTTATATTAATTTTCTTCCCTTGAATATTTTACTAAGCGGTAGGCTGAGGTATCTTATATAAGATAAGCCGTAAAGACCTTACGTCTTTTGATGTGGGATCATTTGACCATAACATGAAAATTTAGGTCAAGTTCAAAAGTCAAGGTCATTGTCTAGATTTTGAAATTGCATTGTTTTAAAATTGTAAGGAATAGAGCAAGTTGAAAGTGTACTATATGTTTGGGTCAGTGATGGGCAGCTTTTATATATTTTGACAGAAGTAATTTGACCTTTCCTTAAGGGACATAACTAAAATTGATAGTTTGTTAAAATACATTTCTAACTATTACTCGTAAACAAAATGTTCTCCACCCATGGGTTCTTTTACAATGAAATCGTTGACTAATAATCTTGATAAGGTTGAAGATCACATTCCAGATAATGAACTTGGTATTTTTAATCCTATTTTAAGGGGTTTATGCATTTTTAAAAGCTTTTCAAAGCATTCTGCGTCTATCTCAATTGTTCACGAGGTATTGGCTCTGATTTTGAATTTTCTTGTGTTGCAGGAACCAGTTACTTTATAGTTAAAATTTAAAATGTCATTGATTTGGGATTTTACTTGTTAACAATTCATTCAAGCATGCAAATATGCAAAACAAAATTATATTTAGGGGTTACTAAGATGTGTGTGGGCTTATGTGAATATAGAGAAAAGCAATAGATAAGGGTATCTGTCTACCACTTTTATATATGCATTAAAATTATTGCTAATGCCAGTGAAAAATTTTAGGCACATTTCAAGAAAAAGATGAATTAAAGCCTTGTCCGCACCTATCCTCTCAGTCCAACATATGAAGGAAATCCTTAACCTGAGTATGCAATCACTTTCTTATGTTGTACAATAACCAAGAATTTACATTATTTTGTTTTTTTCCTAAATCCATATGAAGCAATTACATAATTTTTAAATCATATATTTAAACGTTGACAGATGCCAATGGAGTAGGGGATTGTCACAAGTGCCATGTATGCGTAATTCATAAATATACCACTGAATTATTCCAATCAAGGAAAATCACCAGTATGTTGGCACGATGAGTGCATGAGAATATTTTTAGGTATTACTCTTGACTAAAGGTTATAGACCCATAGGGTCTTATGTCGTGAAATCAGGGACCTTGATACTGAACTTGTGTTGTTGATCTTATTTTAAGGATTTTATGTTTTGTCAAAGCTTTTCAAAGCAGTCTGAGTCTATTTAAATGTTTCTTTTACATTATGAAAATGAAAGACAGTTTAATAGATATCTGCATTAAACAAATTTGAAATTTGCCAAAATGTATCAATATTGTAGACATGGTACCCTTGCTGACATGTGTTGGTCCATAGGCACTTGTGTTTAAAAATATACCTTTATAACTTTACATATCTTTGTAAAGCTAAATATTGGTATTCATTTTTTTACAGAGACAAGGGACCGTGCTTGAGCATGTGCTATGCTAAATCTGAAATTATTAAATAGTAGATAGGATGAATCATATTGAATCATGCTTATCTTTGTGAACACTAGTTTGCTAAATTTCGTGTACATGCTTGTATATACAAAACAATTTACAAGTATTCAAAATAACTGATGACATGTGATCATTGCAAAATCTTTTTGAAAACGGCTTATGACGGTTACCAATTACTACTATCCCAGGCTTGCTGGCCAAACAAAATAATGGCAATGTCAGAATGATCAGTCCTTAAAGCAGGTATATTTTTGTTCTTTATATCAGATGATATATTTCATCCGCTGCTAAGAAATGTCTAGTCGATTTTGTTTAATAGCAGGGGGTTGACGCTTAGTAGAGTTTTTTGTCAATGAGGGAGTTTGTTCGCCAATAATCCAACAATTCCATAATTTCTTATATCTTTTTACGAAAAATACAAAAACATATATGTATTTAGATTGCAGTAATGGATAATATCACAATCACTACATAATGGTACCGTCATTTTCATATAAGGCTTTTGATATAATATATCATCACACAATAATATTTTATACATATTATATCTATATAGATATACTTAAGTCATTCTCTGTTGAAATGAGATCAATTATAATATTTGATCAACTTTAGTGTCAAAAATAGTAAAATCTAACACCTTTTAACTCGATACTATCTACAGCACTTATATTGCTATGTTGACAAAATATATTAATATTACCCTATTCCTCTCCCCAAATTGTCTACATTGTATAAAAGAAGTAAAAAAACAGAGAGCAAATAAGTCAAATAAAAAAAGTTATAAAGTATGTAGTGCAAACACATTTATACACCTCACATACAATAAGATGACCCTTGCGATAATGAACAAAACGCATCGGATTGGTTTCACAGTGTTTGCGTAAACTATGAAAAGAGAAGTGCCATGTGGATGTATAATTATATGCATAAAGGTAATATGTTATTTATTAGATATTCTATTTCGGCTTAATAACTTACAATTGTCCCAGCATATTGATAATTGGTAGCATGAGCTTTACACTGGTCTTCACACCAATTATTAGTAACTGCATTATTCTCAAAAAGTAATGTCCACCTTAAGGGAACGAACCAATAGCATTGATAAACCACTGCACAATCTGAAAACATGACAATTGTCATATGAAACCAATGAATTATTCAGATTTGTTTCTCTGTTTTTTTTTGTGATATCTCATTCTCTATATATGTATAAATTTCCAACTATATCTTTAAAAGAATTATTGTTTTGAATTCGTTTGTCTTGGAAGCGAACCCTGTATAATATAACGTGTTGTTTTCTTAGGGATTGCTAGTTTTCAGTTGACTAATCTTTTTTTTTAACCGGAACCTCTGCAATTCCAAATTAAGAAAAATACAGATTTGGAAAACATATTTTTACAATATTTCCATGTAAATAAATACTGGTGTATGGTGCTTGTGGCTATGGTTTCAAACAATGAAGGTAACTTTGAATTGTGCAAATCGTATATAAGTCAAGTGAGAAGAGGTGAGGGGATTCTTGTATGGTATATTGAATGGGGATAATTGTTGTGGTGTATGGTGTATGACGTATGATATAAAGTGTAAGGGTGTATGGTGAATGCTATACAGATTTACACCATTCATGCAATTAACGAGACCGAAAAATATGTTTCCCTTCATGCTACTGATGTTTCTGGCATTAGATTATAATAATTGTTTTAGTTCGTACTTATCATGATACATATATACAATGTTGATTACGTTATATTTATCCTTTTTTTATTTTACCCATTTACCGTTATACTTTTAATTCCAATTGCTCACACGAGAAATGAAGTGTGTCGATTTCCTCAAACAAGTAATTGTGAAATTTGATACAAAGTGTCAAATATTAATCGAATTGTAAAATCGGTTCTGTAAATATGTAATTACAGATATTACTAAATACACTAAACAAAACGATGAACACTAAAATATACCACTAACGCATAAACGAGCTTTTATGGTATCGATCATCGAATGGTTTATGTTATATACTTTCGTTCGTACATGGTTGGTTAAGCGTCAGTACACCGTCCGCACAGCGTTTTTGTTGCGTTAGTACATCGTACATGTTATTGCAGCATTTGGGTATCGTTTGTACAAAAATATTGGACATCTTTTGTATCTGACTATCAGATCAGTACTTTGTGTTTTTAGAATATGTATAACTAAAGCTGTTTTTGTGCTTGGTATCGATTTGATGAGACAATCCATTTTCAACCGATTTTTATAGTTTGTTGTATTGTTGTGCTGTTACACAATTCTCTCTTGTTATGGTTAGATTGTTCGCCCGTAATTATGCTTTACCCTGAAACAGTTGTAATGTGCATGTCCAAAGTCAGGAACATGTAATGCAGTGGTTGTCGTTTATATCTGTATATGATATTTGTTTATTTATGTTTTCTTTTTTACAAAAGTTTTCGTTTGAATTGTTGTATGTTTTGTCATGCCTTATCTAGCTTGCCTAGCGATATGGGGTTCGCTCATTGTAGAAGGCCGTACGATAACCCATAGTTGTTAATATCTTACTCATGTGGTCTCTGCTGACTCGTTGTGTGATTGGCAATCATACCATAAATCCTTACTTTATCTGAGAACAAAATGTTATGTATATCATATTTTTTTAAATATGTTTTTACATAATCCATGCTTTCATGAGCCGCTCATTTTGATTCACATTTTGAAAACAAAAATGCAATTGTTTTACTTGTGAGCAATCTGCTCCGTTGAAACACTGATAAATCTAAAGTAATAACTCATCAACCAATCTGTTTCCTTGGCATGATATGGCGTTTTTACAATAATTAAATATTCTTGCCTGCACACTTTAAGACGATAATTTGAAAAAAATAGAAATCACAATTATTATTTTTTTCATTTGACATATCAGCAAAAGCAACAGAAAATGACTATTGTCTTTTAAAAGTCTATCAACTATAACATCGAACGTCAACTTTTGAAATCATGATGCGCAGTCTCGGTGTCTGTTTGACCCAAGCTATATCCAACTGGATCCGTTAATGGTTATAGCGTTTCCATGATCCAAATAAACTGTTTGTATTTTGCAAAATGTTTTTCGCTAATATTTTAAGTTTCAATCATATTTATATTTAACATCAGAAGATGAAAAATGGATAATAATTTACAATTAAAACGTTTTCAATTTTGTAATAGCTTCTCGTTTTCAATTATAACAGTATACTGCATAATTGATAATAGTATTCAGATATCTGTAAAATATAATACATTTATATATTAAATATGCGCTGTCATAATGAATGCTATTGATTACATACCGGTATCGTAAACTTAGTAAAGCTTGTTTTGGTTCCTACACAATACAACATGGAAGAAATGTATCGTTTGATCAGTGTACTTTTGTTGAGCACTTTACTGTAGTTAAAATAGTATTAAAAATTACAGAAAAGTAGTTAATAGGTATAAGAAGAAATCAAAGGAGAATCATAACAATCCACAGATAATTGAAAATAAAGCAAAACAAACCCCATTAAACACCTGGAGTGAAGTACATTGTACATGTTGTAAGGTTCCCTATAATGGTAACCATTGTCCTCTCCACTCGTGGAACCTACATATTGATCATGGCAATTACAAAGTTAGTGATCAGTCTAATTCGGTAATATCAAAATAAATGAGGAAAACATGACTGTGACTATATCAAATGAAATAATCTGTGATCATAAGTGACACATATTAATCCAAATGGTTAATCATATCATGATATCGACAGTTAAACATTTGTACAAGGGACTTCAACTGTATTATTAGGAACACAAGGTTCAATAGTTTTCACAAATACTAAAAAAACTACTTTAAAACAAACTATCAGTACAGGAATAAATTATCTGATTGTATCTGTAGTGCTGTTTTAACATGTTTAAGAAGACACTTTTAGGGAAAGTTCACCGCAGGACAATGACTTTCTCTGAAAGACTTACCTAAATCGTTCAGATAGCGAGTGAGTGAAACAGTCATAGGTTTGCTGAGGATTTTCACGCATGTTGATCCTTGCAAAGCTGTCGAATCACTTGGTTTCGTTTTTGTTTGGGCTTCACGTCATCCCTAGCTGTTGCCATGTGATTTGTATATTGAATATTGATTTGCTAGATCTGTCTAATTATGTTAATGTTTGGAGATAATAAAATTGTTTGATACCGATTATAAATAAGGATCAAATCAAAGATGGCGGAGCCGAATAACTACATAGTTGTAAGCAATATTTACCTATTTCAATTTTCTAAACTCCGTCAAAGCGAAAATTCAAATAGTCTGTTGTTTCAGATTTGAATTTTTTTGTTGTGGTTGAAAATTAATACCATCCTTTGGAAAATGAATTATGAGATATAATAAATATGTAAAAGATACCATGCATTGAATAATTAAGATCCGGTTTCCGCTTTAAACATAACAGTGACGCAAACATTAGAACTTTGCACTAGTAACATGATAACGTTTCGGTGATATGTATCGTTTTTATAAACAGCTTACGTAATTTTCAATATGTTTTTATTGATATTAAAATAGTTACTCACGTTACCATCTAACTGCAGATTTTGTAGATAGTTTACTAAATAACATATTTTAAATGGCATGGTTTTCCTTTTTAGGTAATGCATTTAGATTAAATATTTATGAAACTAATAAGGTATATTTTTGCCCTCGTTTTATAAAATTTCGCGCCCGTATAGCAAGTGAGAGGTTTGATTTTAATCAGACTAAGATTATTATAGAATTGAATATCAGTTTAAAGACGAATGCTAGTATCATAAAGTTTTAGAATGATTAATGACTTATTGTTGAATGTTGAAAAATATATTTTACAGTTGAACTTAAATGTATTAATGCCAGACATTTGTAATTATTTTCCGTTGAAAAATATAAAGTATTTTTCAAAACAGTATATATGACAAAGATTCGAGAGGATTTTATGAATCTAAATTGTGTTTGATGAAAAAATGATATCGTCTACAATTGCTGGCACTGAAAATACATATTTTTTTTCAATTTGTTCATATTATTTTAGCCAAGAAAGTGAGAAAAATAATGTTTGATTTATACCCGAAGCAATCATATTTTTTCTTCTAATTAGTTAATATAATTACAAACCTTATATTTCGATCTTATTTTAAATTCAAGTATTTATTTCTTAGATTTCACCCCAAGCTTCAGTTAGAGCAAGCAAAATCTTTATCATTTTTCACTTCAGACAATTTTAATTGAAACTAATGACAAAATACAATGCATATTTTGTTTAAGGTTTTTATTTCACTTTTGCAGTATAAATAAAACTGAACGTCATTTCAAGTTCGGACAATATTTCACGGTAATCAGATAAACTACTCGATCCAGGGAACAAATAGTAATTGGTGCCAGTATTGATAGAAACTACTGAACCCATATTGTAACGGCCTAAACTTTTAAAAGCTCAATTGTGAGAATCACAATAGTTCAATTTCTAGTCGTTAGTCATGTACACAGTTCAACATTGCAACATTCATCGAAACTTTAAGTAATTATGCCTTAAATGATGGATTTTCGTCGTATGAATTCGTTATGAGTCTTCACTACTTGTAAATGCATTCAAAATCAATGTAGTCTACACATGATTTTATTTCTTACAATAACGAACAAAATTATATACCCTTCTGTAACCTAAAAATGTCGATTTCGAACAGTAATATTATAAACCCGATCCGTAAGATTTTGATCACATGAACAACAAGGTTTATAGAGATAGATGCGTAAAACATACACAAAAAAGAATTAGTAAAACATTTTTGCAATAAGGTAAGTAAAGCAATATCAAAAATAATAAAATCAAATAGAAATATCTGTGAGAACATCCATATAAGAGAATGTTCTTTCAAAGTATTGCAACGGCGTTTCATGAAGTTGATTAAGAAATAATTCATGGGGGCTTGAATTTATCGTGATTTTACCACGGGTTGGCTCTTTATGCTAAATATTTTACCAGGAGCCACAGCGTTAATATTTCAAATTTCAATCATGTTTGGATCGAACATTTAAGATGAAAAGAAGATACTTACGGTGGTCATTCTTGTTTATGAAAGCA